GTGGGTTTTCTTGGTGTTTTGTTTTGGGGTTTTATGGGGGTGGTTTTTTTTTTATCTTCTTGTGCTACATCCAATGCTGGCTTGTTCATTTTTCCTTCCTACTGGTTCAGTTGCTCAGGCAGTCAGTGCTGTGATTTCCCGGTCAACCAATCATTTACCACCTTTTAGTTCATCTTTTCCTCATAGCTGTACAGGCTTTTCAGACACAGTCTTGAATTCTTTATTTTCTTTGGGAAACTCTAATTAGTAATCAGGATTGTGATGAGTAGGCTATATGAGATAGTAAGTGCCTGAGTTAAAGATTTATGCAAGAGCACATGGGTACAATTCCAGTAAACAAGTGAATGATTGAGGATACCACATAAAACCTGAGCTGCTGCTAAGAAGAAATGAGTTGGCAAAAAAAAAAAAAAAGGCTAAAAACATAATTATGAACTTGGTGAATGATGTGCCACATTGATTGCTATAATGTGCTAATGTTTGCTCCATTTGATATCCCAGATATTAAATGCAGTACTTAAATGTGTCCTTGCCTGGGCTAACAGAAGGCTACATAAAAGCCTCTTTCAAAAAAATTTGTAAAGGTTTACTGCATTTCTGGAAGTTGTTTTTATTATTCTACTATGTGTTTTTATGCATTATTCTGTTCCTTTTCAAGCGTGTTTTGAAAAAGTTACTTGTGTGCAATCTGAGAAATGATGGATATTTAATAGCATTCAAATAAGACATTCCCCTCTGTGTTTCAAATTCTGCTTTGGAAGAGGCACATAAAATACTTTCAGAAACAAACAATTTTTTTTTATGTAACTTAGTTTCATAAAATTAAAGTTCACAATATTCTGAAAACATATTGTTCCTGAGAGAGAAACATTTCACCACTGCTCTTAGAGTAGTAATTCACAGTGACAAAGGCAGCCAGTATATTTTGTTTGTTGAAAACTGTACATTCTGGGGGAGGACGGAAAAGCACAAAATACATTTTAAGTGCCTTGAAGTGTCTTTTGTACACAAGAGACTCAATAACTAGAATGCATCTCTGAAGAGTAATCAGAATCCTTTTTCTTTGATAGCTCTTATCCAGAGTAGACCTTATAACCATGTACATCTACCCTTTTTAGAGTATTTAAAGTATTTAGAAAACAAAGACATAAGCTTGCATATTCATAACTGATTGGAATGTACGATTTTAGATGTAAAGATCTCAGATGTCCATTCTTAGATCCTCTAGTTCCTTGAGGATCCAGTTTCCAGAAAATAAATGACCTTAATATGATCGGTAACTGAGCAAACCAAAATGAAGGTACCCAGGACATGAAAATGGAAGGGAAAAACTTCAAAATACAATTAATGTCCTCAATTTACAATTTCATCTTTCTGTGCTCCCACCTGACTTATCATCTGGTGAAATTCCTTTGGTGATGTCATGCTCAGGAACAAGTCTCACTTATAAAAGGATTTTCTTTATTTTTCATAATTTAGCTGAACCAACACAAAACTGAATACTRTAAAGCAACAAAAATGATGTAACATCTTTCATTGTTTCTGTGTTTACTAAATAAGGCTMCTAAGCTCCCTTTAAAATAAATCAAAACAGAGAGTTGGTAGAGTGAGGGATCTGGCTCTTGAGGTCTACATGTACAGTAAATGTATTTACCATCATTTATTGCATGACATTTTAAACCTGACATTGGTCATTTATAGTGCAGTCAGTCCATAACACTTTACAAGTGGCTGGGCTTTAATTGCTACTTTGATACTGGTCAAAATCCTATGATTAAATAAGAATTTTGTATATATTTATTTTACTCGAAGACAAAATGATCCATAGTTCATATTTTCCTGCAACCTCTGCATTAAATAAGCCTCAGTGTTTGAGTGGGCTTTAAAATATTCTTTAATCAACTTTTCATTTTTGTACCTTTCATCTATGGTCACTTGAATAATCTCTAAATATTTTTTCTTTAGTAGAATAGAACTAGCATAACACTAAAAGTTAATTGGAGTATTAGGTAGTATACTTGAAACCATAATACATTTACCAGGAAGAAATTAAGCTCCCTTGTTGATTGTATTATACCAGTAYGTACCAAACTTATATGCCAAAAGGTACAGTAAAAGGGAACAAGGTTTTGTTTCTGTTTTGTCATAATTTCTCCCTTGTCTAAGCTGTTTTTGCTAAATTTTCACTAACCAATAATGCTGAAAAAGTGGGCTTTCTAACAATGAGGTAAAACACTGAAAACGGGATCAAGGAACAGGCTTCA